GCACTCTACCCAGGGGACAGCTTGAGGCTCTGTCTCAAAAAAAAAAAAAAAAAGAAAAAAGAAAAAAACCCTTTGAGTAAAAATCCTGTTTTGTGAAGTAAAAGTAGTTTAAAACTGTCAGTGTCACATTAAAATCAACAGTAAGTTTAGATTATGATCCAGTACTTTCACACAGAAAGAAAGTAAACCAACTTCTGGAGAGTCCTGTGCCAGACCTCCAGCTAGCTGAAATATCTTCACTGATTATGATAATCACTAGGTAAGTAGTGTTTTCTCCACAGTTCATATCATATGCATGGAACTACAGGGAACAAAGAAACAAGCCACGGTTCCATCCCTCACCAAACCTTTCTTTCAGCGCAAAATCTTATAAAACAGATACTCTGTCCAAAATCACACAGCTTGTAAGTGACAGTCAAGATGTGCAACCAGGCTGCCTGTCTCCTTCTGCTGTGCAACATTAACTTTCAAATTCCACATTAGTCACATGATATTGCTTATAAAAAAGTTAAAAGTAATTTTCCTTTTAAGAAAAAGACAGGTGGCACCCATAGCTCAGTGGGTAGGGCGCCAGCCACATATACCCAGGCTGGTGAGTTTGAACCCTGCCCAGGCCAGCTAAAATAACAACGACAACTGTAACAAAAAAATAGCTGGGTGTTGTGACAGGTCCCTGTAGTCCCAGCTACTTGGGAGGCTGAAGCAAGAGAATCACTTAAATCCAAGAGTTCGAGGTTGCTGTGTGAGCTGTGATGCCAAGGCACTCTACCGAGGGCGACAACTTAAGACTCTGTCTCAAAAAAAAAGAAAAAGAAAAAGTAGACAGAAAAATTATCAGTTGGCTACAGCTACCAATATATGTGAATACGGCCCAGTTCAGTCTAAGACTCAACACTCCATATTAAACGTAGGCATTATCACCTCCTCTGTGGGGTGGGGGCATGTCTCTGGCTCCCTGCAGACCCCTGGACAGCGTTGACACATTAGCTGCTTTCATGAAATACTCACTGACTAACAAAATCTTGGAAGTGGTTACTAGAGGAGTAATAGTGCTTTTCAGTTATGCCAATTCCAACTCTTTTATTCCATTTGTAATTTTTTTCCTAGCTGCTTCATAAGTAGAAATTCCATTTGTATTTTCTGAGAAGTGGGAGCCTTATTAATTTATGTCAAATATCAACTGATAGTCATCAATATCAGTGCCAATAGTTTTAAATAGATTCTCTTCATTCTGATCAATGTAGGATGAAATGCCAAATTAATATGTATTGAGGATATCTTTGATTCTATAGTACCTTTTAGAGTTAACAAGCTAGCTGCAAGGCTACTGTGAAATTGTACCACTGATGCTGAAAAGCACATTTTGAATAGCTATATTTGGGTCATGATGAAGAATTATGAATATCTTCCCTAAAATCTATGCTGAAGTCTCACAGCCAATTTCTCACATAGACTTTCTATTTTCTTCTCTATGCTAGACATTTGCTTTCATTTTCTGAAGCCAAAGCAATCACCCCCAAACTGAGCACATTAATCGTCTTTAGTTCATGTTCTTTCTGGCCTTATGATGATACTAGCACAGCTGTTACAGTTATTGTTACCTATTTCAGAGCTTCTGTTTTTTTAATTTTTGAGACAGAGTCTTACCTACTTGCCCCTGGTAGAGTGCTGTGGCATCATAGCTCACAGCAACCTCAAACTCTTGGGCTCAAGTGATCCTCTGGCCTCAGCCTCCTGAGCAGCTGGGACTACAGGCACTCACCACAACACCCAGCTAGCTTTTCAATTTTTAGTAGAGATGGGGTCTTGCTTTTGCTCAGACTGGTCTCAAACTCCTGAGTTCAAAGGATCCACCTGTCTTGTCCCCCAGAGTACTGGGATTACAGGCGTGGGCCACTGCACTTGGCTACTTCAGAGATTCTAGAAGGCGTTAAGTCCGCCTTCTTACTTGCTTTGTTTGGCTTTTGCCTGAAACCTAAGGCCTGTGAGAACTTTGTCAGTACAGATGGATTCTGCCAGAATAATAATTTAGCCCAATGACCACGCTGTACCTACTGGGGGATTTTTACATGAAAAGCACTGGCCTCTATCTTAAGCCTAAGCTTTTAAATGTACCTTTTAGGTGAATGAGGAGGTAGTTGCTGTCTGGGAGATGAGGATGGACACTCAGAGATTCCAGGATATATCTGGGCACATCACGGCAAGAGGAGCACGTGCACCTTTCCCACCCGGGCAGCCATCCTGGTCACACACAAAGCCATTTCTCCTTTCTTTCCACCCACCCTCCACAATTCCCATTCTGCCTTTTATTCTTACACGCATTTCTTTTACATGAAATCAGTGGTGTGGAGAAGATCCTCTAAGTGAGAAAGTCTGTTGATCTGATCTAACTGCGCTTAACTTCTTGTTTTGTGAGACACAGTCTCACTCTATTGCTCAGTGAGAATGCTATGCCGTCAGCCTGGCTCACAGCAACTTTAAACTCCTGGGTTCAAGTGATCCTCCTGCCTCAGCCTCCCAAGCAGTTGCAACTATAGGCACCAGACAAAATATGTGGCTAAGTTTTACTAGAGACGAGGTCTTGCTTTGCTTAGGATGGTCTGGAACTCCTCAACACAAGAGATCCTCCCACCCCAGCCTCCCAGAGTGCTGGGATTATAGGTATGAGCCACTGCACTTTCTCTTGACACCCTTAAACAAAGGTATTTTGTTTTCTGTTTGGCAAGTTGAAAACTTTTATTGGCACTTTTCCCTCAAGGGATGACTAATGACCAATCAATTTTTCTAGAATTAATATCCTCAGGCAAAAAAAGTAAAACTCATACATGGTATAACAGAATAAATTATAAATGAGATTAGCAGACAATACATCAGCAATAAAACTTTGATAGTTTTTATTTCATCCAGAATGGCTTACCACATATAACCAGAAGATCATACACGTATGTTGACAGAAATAATAAACACATGACCTTTTGAAAAAATATCCATGTTCAACTTTCATTGAGCTTGAAAGAGTAATATATCCAAACAGGTCTGATTTCAATTTATGTTTTTAGAGAGTTTTCCTTATTATAAAATTAATGCCATGCATTAAATATTTGTAAAATTATTTTTTAAATTACAAAGTAGAAAGAACCACACAGAGTCAACTGAATTATTGTTAACTTTACAGATTATAGTAACTGTTTTTCTTTGGATTTTTTTTTAACATTTTATTTATTTATTTATTATTTTTTTGCCGTTTTTGGCCAGGGCTGGGTTTGAACCCGCCACCTCCGGCATATGGGATCAGCGCCCCACTCTTTTGAGCCACAGGCACTGCCCTTTCTTCAGATTTTTACATAATGGAACCAGACTATAGATATTTAAGTTCTTAAAATTAATATACTATAAACATTGTCTCACACCTGCAATTTACTTTTAAACCTACTTAATAGAATTCTCACATATTAACACCAAATCTCATCATTTTATTTTATATTTCTGTCTGGTTTTAAATGTGTGTGATAAGGAACGATTTCCAAATCTGGACAAGAAATAGAACATACCTTTCTCCGATCTTTAAGAATCCTATCCAGACTCTCTTCATTGACTTTGCTTGCATAATCATAAAAACTAGTTAACAGAAAAAAAATACTTTATTAAAATCACATAGTATTGTGACAATGACATGCTTAACAATGTTGAGTCTATGGGGCATCTAACCCTAATATATAAACGCTTGTTTTCAATAGGTATATAAAGAGAACTTAGACTAAAATGCTTTTCTGATATAAGGTGTCTCTTGCATCAAGGAATACCCAAGAGATTGCTACGTTCAAAAGATATTACTTCCACATGTGGAAGGTGCTGATAGCAAGTAATTATAAAATGTGGGGTTTCAAATGGCTGTGACATCTTTTCTTTGTTTCTAAGTATCAATTACTTATGAAAAAAATATAATGCAGCAGCTCATTTCCTGAGAAATGAAGACAGGAAGAACCATTTGTTGAGTGCCTTTTCATAAGATGATGGGGCTGCATGCTTTCTCTTATTATTGCACTTCATTCTCCCTTCAGTGCTGGGAGGCATAAGTTCAGCCTGACAATGTAACATGTTTTATTCATTCTCGGTTTTGTAGATAAAGACACCAAGGTTAAGTGACTTGCCCCAAATCATAGAAGTGGGACACAGAAGGGCTGGAATTTGAAGGCAGGTCTGGGTAGCTTCAAACCTAACACATTCACCTCCAAACAGACCACTGTGACCAGGATCCTTCAGTGTTCAGTCCAGGTACAATGATGTGCAGGCCTTTTTTACCACTGACTGTGCTCTTGGGAATGCTACCCCCTCTCCCATCATCATAAGCCCAGGCCTTATAAGGCAGGAAGAAGTGCACGATACAGCAAAAAATACTGAATCAGAAGCCTGCAAAAACCAGCTCCAGCCCTAGTTCTGCTTCTCATTGTATGAGGTGGGAAAGCCACTTAACCTATCTGGCCTCCATTTCCTTTTTTGCAAAATAAGGAGTTAGGACTAGACATGATTTCTCAGATTTCTTTCAGCTCTAAAAATTATGAGTCTATGATTTAAACTCAGTTCAATGCTTGTTTTAGTACGGCTTTGCTAACTGCATTTTAAGGGATTCCTCAGAAGGGTGAGGGAGGCACACTCAGTGAAGCTTTGATAGTCAGAACCAGAGCTGACACTTTCACTGACCAGACAAATGCCATGTGTGGACCAGGGCCTGAATCATGTCATGTGCTGAGATTCCTTTCAAATGAACTAACTCAGCTCGCTTGCCTATTCCTCCTCCAGTTATGTGTAAATCTATGAGGTGAGGTCCTCAGCTAATCTGAGGCTTCTTTCATAGACAGCCATCCCACATGACAACTCTGAAACAATCAATGGTAGGGATGAATGTGTCAGGCTGAATGTGATAGAAGTTTCCAGGGCTCTTGGCTGCAAGAGGCTTGGTGTTTGGGCCACCTTACGATGGGAAAGTGGTCAGGGCAGAAGTTGAGGGGAACACACAGCAGGAACCGTCAAGCAGAAGGCAGTGGTGGGTGTTAGGAAGAAAGTGGCGATCAGGAACACCAAATTGTGCTCATATGGGCAGCAATGGAAGGATTGGCCTGGCTTCTGGAAGGGATGGGAAGTAGGGTCTCATGAAACACAGAGTCAAAATCATCATACCAGCCATTAAGCAGAAGAGTTTGAGGCTGAGAAAGCAGGCACAGGCCTGTGTGGTGGTTTGGGAGAACCTAGTGAGTGAGAGACACCAGACTCCCCCACCGCCTGCCCCCCAGGATGTTTCTATGGTATTTGCCTTCGTCTTCCTGAATGCTGAGCCTATCATTTCTCTCTTTCTGTCCTTTAGTTGGTCATAATATGGAACTGGTACACACAGGAGTCCTTCTGTTACCCATGGTTCCATATTCCAGTTTCAGTTACCCTTGGTCAACTGGGGTCCAAAAGTAGCTTGAAAGAGAGAGGCCACATTCATGTAACTTTTATTACTGTAATTGTTATAATTGTTCTATTTTATTATTAATCTCTTTATGTACCCAATTTATAAATAAACTATCATCAGTATTTGTGGGAAAAAACAGCATATATAGAGTTTGGTAGTAACTGTGGATTCAGGCATCCACTGGGCTCCTGGCGCATATTCCCCACAGTAAAGGGGAGACTACTGTATTAACTTAAACACCAAAAAAAGAGAAAGATCTATGTACTCTTCTCTTATGTTTTAAAGTTGAACACTGAACTTTTTTTATTGCTCTTAAAAACATTCACTAAATTATTGTATCTTGATTAACTTTGGTCTCTCAGGCTGAAGAGTCTTGAAAGGCTGAAGGGGGATGCTTCCATTCTAAATCACAGAGGCCACAAGGTGCACTTTTTTTTTTTCTTTTTTTCTTTTGAGACGGAGCCTCAAGCTATCCCCCCTGGGCAGAGCGCCATGGCATCACGCTCACAGCAATCTCCAACTCCTGGGCTCAAGCAAGTCTCCCGCCTCAGCCTCCCAAGTAGCTGGGACTACAGGCGCCTGCCACAGCACCCGGCCATTTCTTGGCCGCAGCCATCATTGTTGTCTGGCGGGCCCGGGCTGGGGACTCGAACCTGCCACCTTAGGTGTATGTGGCTGGCACCCTAGCAGCTCGAGCCACAGGTGCTGAGCCAAGGTGCACTTTTCCCTTCCTCTTTTCCTAATCTAACACACTGCTGTACACATAGCATGCAATCAGTAAGTGAATTTGGGTGCTCTCAGTTACACTCGTGACTTTATAGACACCACCAGCCTCAGGCCTAAATTTACTAGTGTTTTTGGTTTTTGAGACATTCTCTGTTGTCCAATCTAGAATGCCATGGTGTCATGATAGCTCACAGCAACCTCAACCTCATGGGTTCAAGGGATACTCCTTGCTCAGCCTCCCAAGTAGCTGGGACTACAGGCACCTACCACTAATTTTTCTATTTTTAGTAGAGAGAGGACCCTGCTCTTGCCCAGGCTGGACTCTAACTCTTGAGCTCAAGCAATTGACCTGCCTTGGCCTCCCGGAATGTTGGGATTACTTATAGGCATGAGCTACTGTGCCCAGCCAATTCACTAGTGTTTTATCAGTCAATCCTTTTAATAAAAACTAAAAGCTAATAGAGAAGGATGCAGCTTACCTAAAAAGTTTTGAACAAGGGTGATGGTTGTGGATTTCTGTAATTAGAAAGATGAGATACATCTCAGTTAATAATATAAAATACAGGCAATTACAAAATAGCTCAGAATTTAGTTATTTATGAGACAGAATCTCATTTTGTTGCCCTTGGTAGAATGCCATGGCATCACAGCTCACAGCAACCTCAAACTCTTGGGCTCAAGTGATCCTCTTGCCTCCGCCTCCCAAGTAGCTGGGACTAAACGTACCTGCCACAATACCAATACCTGGCTTTTTTTTTTTTTTTTTTAAAGAGACAGGGGTCAAGTTCTTGCTCAGGCTGATCTCAACTCCTGAGCTCAAGCAATCTACCTGCCTGGGCCTTTCACAGTGCTAGGATTATAGGTGTGAGCCACTGTGTCCAACCAAGATTTTTTTTTTTTTT